CAAGAAATCAAATCCATTTTTGGCGGTCTTTCAATAACCTGAAAGAGATTTCATATTAAGTTCTAAGTTTGGTCTTTCATTTATGATTGAAAATGTTACCATTAACTTCATTGATTATTTCATGCAGTAACTAATCCAAGAAGCTGTATCTCGTTCAGCTGTCGATTCACAGATTACGGGAAATCGAAGGGGTTCATTGAATGTGTGTTAACACGAGGAACCTCAAGATTTGCGGTATCCCACGAATTCGTTCCTGTGGAAACTGTGAACCTTAAGCAGAGACGATGGATAACCGCGAAAGAAGAGAAAAGGATTTTTCTTTTCGATGGATACCTTAATTCAAATTTTGTTGGCTCATAGGTTTTTTTAAAGTAGAATACGTTCGAAACATTAAAAAATTACACCATATTCCTGTGTGGCTGCTGTGGAGAATTTTATACTATAAGTATTGTTCTAGTCATGTAGGTATTTAGTTTTTTTTATATGTTTTTGTATTATTTATTTCTATTATTTATTCATTAATTGTTTATAGATATAGATATTTTTGTATTTAATATCTTACATGATTTATATAGATGAAATGTTTATATGTGCTCCTTCCATGTCTGATTTTTTTTATTTATATTGTGATATTATATTATTTCATATATATGTTTTCATTAATTAATTTTTTTATATAAATATATGTGATTATAAATATTTTAAAACTAAAGAAATGATATTTCTTCTTCAGAAGTGAGTATAAAAGTACAAAAACATTTTTATAAACTTATTTTAGTTTTTATATTATGCCATATCACTATGCTAATATAAGATATAAAAAATTAATTACTTATACATTCTGATAACTTCTTATACTCATATTTTTAAATAAATTAGTTTAACGATTAAAATTTCAAAATTATTATAGAAATATGATCCAGAATAATTTAATTGTTTCTCAATGAATCTTTGCAATTTTTATGTTTACCATTATTTATAATTTCAGTTTAATATTAACATAAGATACTTCATTTTATTAGTTTTAAATATATGAAAAGTTATTTTGCAATCTGAAACACGATAATAATAATAAGTCAATATTTATTATACAAATGTATATAATTTATTTGTAATAAAAAACTAATTTTAATTGTACGATTATAAACTAACCTAAAAAGTATATATCATTAACATATATAATAATACATTTACTTACATATGTATATTTTACGAATAAATTTATTCTTTTAAGAACG